AACATTGGTAATCAAGGGTGTGGAAGAAATTACCAATCATAAAACATTAATGGATAGAGAAGAGGATGAGGCCACATACATGAAGTCTCTCATGCTACGGATCCAACTCTAATTTAGTATGCACTACAAAATCATATCATGAAATAAAAAAAAAAAGAAAAAAAAAACATAACTCATCATCTATAGAGTTTCATGTTTGAGGATCTGAACCCATCAATCTAAATTGATATCCCAATTTTGAGACCAGTTCTACCACCCACAAGACTCTACCCAACCAACTTCCAACATGACCCACAACCACACATCTCAAACATTTTTTGTATTGTTTATCATTGAGATACATGATGTTGGGTTGCAGATCAAGTTTGGAAATTGTGTGGGTAGCAGATCCGGACTCCCAAGTGTCATGGCTACCACACATATAACCAATAACCTCAACAATCTCTAGTAGCAAACAAAATGTTCTAGATCAAATCTAGTTTGAATTAACATTGTTTTAGGTTTTCAAATCACTCATCTTGATTCATTGGCCCTTAGTTCAGACCATCAAAAATTTTCTCTTTAATATCTTTACCCTGGTAGAGAGCTCTCCAGGTAGAATTCATACAGATCTAGATGATTGAATTGATATCACCTAAGTTCTCTTATAAATCTTGTATTTCTGGACATGAAATGGACTGGATATGGACTTGATCCAGTTGAACCGTGTTGCATTTTAGCTAGATCTAATTTTAACTCAGGTCCATATTTGTCCCATTTACCTATTTTGATTAATTATGATTTCAAGAATTATATCACAGCATTATGATAGGATAAGAAGAAGAAAAAGAGAGAGAAGAAAATAAAAAAATAAAAAAGAAAGAAAAAAAAAGGAAAAAAAAAACAAGAAAGATTTTCTTTCAATAAGAGTGTGGAGCCAGTTTTTCTTGGTCTCACTCTCCACTATTTTGTTTTACTTTATTTCCCCTGAGAGAAAAAGAAAAGGAGATTAAAGACAAAAGTAGAGCTGTCAATGGTTTGGGACAGGGTTATCATCCCTCAAACCATTTATTAATTGGTCTATATTATATAAAATATGATCGCATTGGCTCCCCACAAAGTGCACTTCATGGCACATCCCAACTGTGCATTGGGAACATCTCCCCTTGACAAATGTGGAAGATGTTTTCATTGTACATTGAGATATGCTGTGGGACACGTATGGGGTGCATTCTATGTGGAGTCAATTTGGACTCTTATCAAGTAGGCCCAGAATCGAACCAATTATTGATTGGGATAATCGGATCTGACCCGATTAGACCTGATTACACTTGTCATCTATAATTACCTATATATAACAACTTACAGCTTCATTTTGACGATATTACCTTAATAAAAATGTCAATCAGTAAGAAACTGTTAAATGTTGATAAATACACTTTTAACCAAAATTATCTCATATATTATTTATGAAAATTTTCCTTTAAACATAAAATATAACAAAAATTATAAAAAAAAAACAAGGTGCTTTTATTATGTAATCAGTTAGAGTCTTAATCAGTTTGGGAAAAAAAAACTGATATTGACCCAATTATAATTTAGACACAAAATTCATAACCAGAACCAGTATACAAGATCAGTTTGGTCGGTTCTATTAGATAGACCTGACCCATTGACAGCTTCGAATCCTATTTTATCTCAATTTTCATTTGTTTTTGTTTTCTCTTGTCAGTTAAACTAATTAAGAAAAGCCTTTCAGATTTCTCTTCCTTTTTTTTTATTTTATATACAAGGAAATGATTGTGACAAGATCCAAATCCAGTCCAAATTTCAATTACATTTATATAATCAGCTTGTGATCTATCTCATTCCACAACATGGATGCATACTTTTGATSATCCAAACCCAGTAAATATAGTATGGATAGTAGCTCACTCCATTTCATTCCCCACTTCAATGTCTTACCCTGAATTGGCAATGGGTTGAAAGTAGAAACCAATATGATGGAGAAATGTGGTTTTTGTATCCTATCTCATAAGGCTCACATGGATTTATGAGACAAGAGGGTAGAGGTTTGACTTAGAAAGCTGTACTGATAAGGTGGGGTTTCATTGTTATTGTAAATCCAAAATTAACAGCCTTCTACCCTATTCTCCCTATTCTCTTCCATTACATGGTTGTAGTGAAATCTGAGACAATGTTTGACCCATCCAGTCAGACCGGTGATCTGGTGATTCGGTCATAATCTTGGTTCAGGTAAAATCTAACCCCTGTTATGTTACAAAAACCCATCAGCTTGGCCAATGACTCATTGACTTGAATAGTTGAACCATTGATCCATGTGATCGATTTGTTATGTGGGTTATAGCGCGTTTTTATTATTTTATTTTATATTTTGAATTTGTATATTAATAACGTGATGAATTGACCAATTGACCATTAACCCATAAGAAAAAAAAGTTCAGCCTCTGAGCTGGGCCTTATTTAATGGCCATTGGAGTGAGTCAACTCAGTGAGTCGTGAGGTGTTGATCTAAGGGGTGTTTGGTACAGTGGTGTTTTGTGAAAGGGGGAATTAAGGGGAAAGGGGATGGGCTATTCCTGTTGTGTAGTCCTATGAAGTTAAAAAAATCACAAATTTGTTAGAAATATGTATTGCTATATTATATATATATATATATATATATATATAGGAATGTCACTAAAAAAATCATATATGAATGTTATTTCAACTAGAAAAATGCATGAATGTGATAAACATGAAATTTGACTTTGCAAGAGCGATTGAGGTCTGACTTAATTGTTATGTTAACTGGTTCGATCCAGGATAGATATGAATTCAATTCCCGCAACCACTGACTTTGGAGAAGAGGAATTATTATTGGTGCGATTGATCAATCAAAAACACAACACTAACATAAAACATTTCTACACAAACACCCCCCATAACCCTATAGTTTCTTCAAACTTTTTGGTAAGCTAAATTCAAATATAGTATGGTGGAGTCCAGATTTCCTGCTCACTTTTATTGTCCATTCTCTATCCACGGTGAATTATAGAGATGAATGAAGTATGGTTAGGGTAGAGAGTGGATAGGAAAAGTGAATAAAAAATTCAGAGTAATACCCACAAAAACGCTACGTACCCACACGACACTACAGCTGGGCATCAAAAACATCTTATCTTGGAAGACAACTGAGATGTTCCCGATCTATGATTAGTGTCTTGTTGGTAGACGTGTGGGCAGCACATCTGGATTCAGTTTCTTCAAATTCAAACTTGGAAAGTGGGTGGAGTCAGGGCTACCCAGCTGCTTGAGTCACGGATTGCCAATTTGCTATCCCTTATGTCACCCTTATACGCCCTTGGCTGGCCCCATTTAGATTCCTGATTCCCACCGTAAAAAGTGACACAGATCTGAGGCAAAGGATGTTTTTGGATCGATGAGGGTACCCTTACATGAGGTGGCTCTTTCTTCTGTCGGCAGACTGCAGTCTATTACTCAACAAACCATTCTCCAACTTAATTGTATAGGCCCAACCCAAGCCCCATCTAAAACAAATCCAATGGCCAAAACTAAAAGAACCACTCCCTTATGGTGTGGGCCCTTGTTGAATCAGACTAATAAAAGATGCCCATCAAGTGATTTGAGTTGCAGCATCACAAGCATTTCTTCTGATCAAAAGCATCATCCATGAAGTTTGTCTACACGAAATAAGAAAGAATATGCTTTTGGACAAACAATTCAACAAAATACTGCAAGTAGGCATCCCTTCACATGGCAGCTCTGGTGCCTTCTACCCAAAAAAATGAGAAAAAAACGCCCTGGTTCTGACCCCAAAAAGGGTCCATCAGACCTTCTCAAAGATGGGTCATGTCAGAGTTTGTTTCGCTCGTTCCAACTTTACTCACTTGCGTTGTAGTAGAAAAATGAAAAATAAAAATGACTCGACTTTGGCACCTCTAATAACTTGCCAGGTGGCAAAACTTTGCCACGTTGAAACACTTTTATAACCTTGAAATTATAAGTATACTCCCCTTCTTCAAACGGGTCATGTCAGGCTTTGTTTCGTCCCAATATTACCCCCTTGCTTTGTGCTTTGTAGTAGAAAAATGCAACAGACTCCACTTTAGCACCTGCAGGAAACTTGCGAGGTGGCAAAACTTGGCTACGTGGAAATACTTTTCATAACCCTCAAATTATCACCATATGTTCACCTTCTCCAAATGGGTCACGTCAGGGTTTGTTTTGTAGTATAAAAATGAAAATGACTCCACTTTGGCACCTCTACGAAACTTCCAAGTGGCAAAACTTAGCCACGTGGCAATACTTTATATCCCTCAAATTATAACTATAATTCCTTCAGTATACCTTCCTCTAAATTGTCAATGTACAGACCCCCTTCCCTAATCCTCATCGTTCAACCAAAAACTATCCACCTTTCATCCCAATATTACCCACTTGCTTTGTAGTAGAAAAATGAAAATGACTCCACTTTGGCACCTTAAGAAATTTGCCGTGTGGCAAAACTTTGCCACGTGGAAACATTTTATAACCCTCAAGTTACAACCATACTTCCTGTAGTATACCTTTCTCTGAATTGTCAATGTACAGACCCCCTTCTCTATTCTCTAATCCCGCATCTTTCAAGTTTCAATCATAAACTATCCACCTTTCAAGCTCCATCCACCTATCACCATCCCTGCAAGAYAGCAAAGCTTTCAAACATCCAGTAATTTCAGACCGCTTTTATCCTTCTATTCTGCTACTTTCCGTTCCAATCAAATCAGATGTACATCTCATCCATTTCTGTTCAATGAAGAGGGAGATTTAACGCTCTCCAACTCTCTAGAGGCGACAAAACACAGCTAGTCTGACAGCAACCTTAATCGATCTCAATCCCACGCGCCAGTTCCCACCATTTTTACTTGCCTCTAATTTAGCCAAATTATTGAATCAAATCAAATTTGGCGGTGTTTTTATCCAAAGTTCCAACTTATATTATCACAGTGTTACTGTATGGTGCGTACCCATTAATTACCGCTGCATTGACTCTTGGAAGAATTTGAAAAGGAAAACGAAAATGATATATAAACCCGAGCAATCTCCGCTAAAATTGGTGGGCTATTGCTAAATTTAGCGACATCGAATAATCCCCTCATTTGCCCCCCACCCCATACATCTCCCCTCAATCACCGGATCAGAGAACGACAGAGACTGAAATGCCTCACTGAGAAAATAACACAAACAGATAGACAGATGCCCAGATAGAGGTAGAGGTCGAGTCAGGGGAAATTTCAAACTTCAAAGTTTGGATTTGATGTCTCCACCACCGAATTACGAGTTTCAGGAATGGTGGAACAAGGAGAAAGAGAGGAATCATGGGTTGTTCCTGGATAAATCTGAAAACCCTAACTGGTCCGCCGTTGAGATCGGTAGCCCCACCGGTGATGCTGATTCAACAGCGGTCGAGAAAGAGCGAAGTCGTAACGCTCGTCAGCTCTCCTGGGTTTGTCTCCTCAAATTTCAACAAGCTGCCAATTGCCTCGCCTGGCTCACAAATGGGTTCCTTTATGTCCTCCGAACTGCCAATCGGAGAGTTATCTCGTCTTCGTCGTTGTCGAATTCTAATTCCGATTCGCCTTCTAGGTCTGAATCGAGGCTCTATCGGGTTATTAAGATTTTCTTGGTTCTCGTCATTCTGTTATTGCTGTTTGAGCTTGTGGCTTACTTCAAAGGATGGCATTTTAGTCCGCCTTCGATTGCGTCGGCCGAGGTTCTGGGTTTGGTTGAGCTTGTTTACGCGAATTGGCTTTTCGTGAGGGCGAATTATCTGGCTCCTCCGTTGCAGTTGCTAACGAATGTTTGTATTGTTTTGTTCTTGATCCAGTCTTTGGATCGGGTCATCTTGATGCTGGGATGCTTTTGGATCAAGTTTCGCCGGATTAAGCCCGTTGCAGCGATGGAATATTCAGGGGACACGGAAAATGGAATTGCTGAGGATTATCCAATGGCGCTTATACAGATCCCAATGTGCAATGAGAGGGAGGTAAGAAGATGTAGGTCTCGAATCCCTGATTCTCGAATTTGAACCATATATTTTTGAGCTTTCTGATGTTTCCATTTTGCTTTTTACCATCAAAAAAGTGTTTACATATTGTTTTCCTTTTTCCAATTTTCTTTTTGCTAACTCCTGTTTGGAATCCAATGCATAAATCATTTTAGTTAACTGACGAAGTAGGAATTATGTCCAGACTCCAGATCTCTAGTATTACTAATCTTCTGCTGAAACTTCTATCTGAAATGCCCATTTGGTTCCAGGCAAGAAATCGTGGTTATCTCACTTGGCAGTCCATTTATTGAAAACCTTCCATTTGTTTCTTTTTCCCTCTGAACCTACATAATTAGCACCATTTTTTTATCAGTTACATATTAGCATCATTATTTAATGTCAGATAATCAAGCAGCCATTGTTATTAGTCTTGGGTCATTATTGATTGGAAGGACTCTTGATAGCAGTGCTCCTCTAGTATCTTATTAGCTTCATGTAGATAAATTTAACTTAAAAAAAAGTCAAACGATATGGTTCTTTTGTTTAATGCCATTCTTCATTTTGTCTTTCTAAGCTGATGGATATTGATGGGTTCTGATTTAGATGCATGGTTATAGAACTTAAGGCAAAATCTGTATGACAGTGATAACTTTTGATAAATAACTATGTTGGTGATGGCCTAACTAGAGAAACTTTTCGTTATTTACACTGTACTTTCTCAGCAATTTTCAAATGTTATTACCATGGGATTATAGAACAATGAAAACAAGAGCAAAACAGTTTTGTCTTAGTTTCTTACTAACAAGTGGATTATTTCACCTGATCATTAGACTAAATGTTTCAAACAGTCGTGTCTTACTGGAAGTTGAATGGGCTCTTAGTTCAGGGAGGGGCAGTGGTTGAAGATGAGGACACTTTTGGAATTAAAAAATTGTTTTGTTTGCGGGGAGGTTCACTGGACTTCTTCAATAAACAGGATGGGAAGGAGGTGAAGAGGCACGAAGTGGGTAAGAGTAATTTGAAGCATTTAAGTAGTGGACATGTGGCTGACCAAAAGGATAGGTTATTGGAAAAAGCAAAAGGAGTTGAGGGATATTTGGCTAAAGATGGCGAAGAGATGTGTCGAGCTTGTAGGAAGGGAGGCGGTTTAAGTATGGACCACTTTTTGAAATCTAAAGTTATCAGTGACAGGTCTGGTATTTATTTTAACAAGTTAAAGAGTTTTGAAGAAGAGAAGCCTTAAAACCCTCAAAGGGGCGGAGACATTGTTCAGACTCAGCATAGGTAAGGGGAGCAACAGAGAAGCAGAAGAATGGATTTGGGTGATTCATGAATACGAGGAATGAAATGTAGGAGGAATTGTATGCTATTTGGGGTTTGTGGGAGGGTGCTTGGTGTTTGGGTGGGGCCTTCAATGTGATAAGGTTCTCTAGTGAAACATCTAACCCCCATTAGTCAGTCACCACTAGTATCAGGAAATTTAATGAATTCATAGACATGTGCAAATTAAAGTAGATTCCTCTCTTGCAAATTAGATTCACTTGGTCCAACTTTCAAGAAAACCCATTGTGTTCAAAGCTAGATAGGTTTTTGTTTAACATAGGATGGAAAAATCACTGGGAAGGTTTGGTGTCTAGAGTGTTTCCTAGAGTCACTTCGGATCACCACCCCATTAGATTTGACTTAGAAACTTTGCATGGCCCCGTACCCTTTAGATTTGAAAAATATGTGGTTGACACATCCAGATTTTGTTCGTAAAGTGGAGGAATGGTGGAAGGAGAATGTAAAGGGAGTGAGGTGGGAGGGAATCAAAGGTCATAAGAAATTGCAAAGATTAAGATCTAAAATAAAGGAGTGGAATAGGAAACATTTTGGAAGAATAGAAGAAAGGAATCTTACCCTAATATCTTAGATTGAAGAATTGGATGAGGTGGAGATTGAAAGAAACCTCAATGCGAAAGAAAGGAAATTGAGATGGAAGTTGCAAAAAGAATTGAAGGAAGTCCTTGATAGGGAGGAAATTTTCTGGAGACAAAAATGAAGACACAAATGGATCAAGGAAGGGGATGAGAATACAAAACTTTTCATGTGATGGCTAATGGTAGAAGGTGTAAGAATTTTGTAGCTAGGTTAGAGATAAATGGGGAAGTGACCTCTAATCACAATGAGATAGCCAAGATCTTTGCAGATCATTTAAAATCTTTTTATAGAAGACCTTGGGGTGAAAGATTACGTTTAGAAGGTTTAAAGTGGCCTTTATTAGAAGAGGAGGTAACCAAGTGGCTAGAAAGGGAGTTTGAGGAAGAGGAAATTAAAAGTGCAGTATTCTCTATGGGTAGATCCAAAGCATTGAGTCTGGATGGTTTTACAATGGCTTTCTATCAAGATTGTTGGGAAGTATTAAAAGATGAGTTATGTGAAGTCATYAAGGAAAAAAAAAAACTGTTGCTAGCCAACCCAAGGACTTTCAACCCATTAGTTTGGYGACCAGTATGTACAAAATAATTGCTAAAGTCTTGTCCATAGTTGTCAAGGCGATGCCTAGGCGACAAGGCGCTCTTTGAGGCTCGCCTCACCTAATCGCCAAGTAGTTGTCTACTTCCTACTATAAAATACTTTTTTATTCATTCTTTTTTGAGATTATCATTATAAAATAGACATTATTAAACTAAAATAATCATTTTGTGCTTATATACTAATTTGTTTTTATTATTTTATTATTTATTAGGGTTTAGTCAACACAAACATTGCTAAGTGCTGTATTGAACCCTCAAAGACTTAAAAAGCTGAACCCTTCATTTTCTTCTCATAAATATGTTGATTTTCTATACTTTAATATGAAATTTATACTTTTCTTATGCAAATCATGAATAATTATTAAAGAAATATGGTTATGGTACCTAGGGAACTTCCCTAGGATCTATGTTTTTAACATAAAAGTCCATTGCCTAGGCAACTAGGCGACTAGGTGCCCCCTAGTCGCCTAGCCTCGCCTTGGTGCCTTGAAAACTATGGTCTTGTTATCATAGTTGTCAAGGTGACGCCTAGGCAACAAGGCACTCTTTGAGGCTCGCCTCACCTAATTGCCAAGCAGTTCTCTACTTCCTATTATAAAGTATTTTTTTATTCATTCTTTTTTGAGATTATAATTATAAAATAGACATTATTAAACTAAAATAATCATTTTGTGTGTTTATATATTAATTTATTTTTATTATTTTCTTATTTATTAGGGTTTAATCAACACAAGCATTGCTAAATGCTGTATTGAACCCTCAAGGACTTGAAAACCTGAACCAATAAGTAAGGAAGAACTTAAAATTTTATCTAATCAGCACATTTTCCTCTTCCATATATTCTTCTTCTACTTCTTCTTCTTCTTCTTCTTCTTCKTCTACTACTACTACTACTACCAATACCTTTTATTTTCTTCTTTTCCTATAACAAAAATAAGGGTTCAGCCCCTATATTTTTTGAATTTTATTTTCCTTCTTCCTTTTCTTCTCATGAATATGTTGATTTTCTATACTTTAATATGAAATTTATACTTTTCTTATGAAAATCATGAATAATTATTAAAGAAATATGGTTATGGTACCTAGGGAACTACCCTATGATCTATGTTTTTAACATAAAAAAATCCATCACCTAGGCGCCCGCCTAGGCAACTAGGCAACAAGGCACCCCCCTAGTCGCCTAGCCTCGCCTTGGCGCCTTGAAAACTATGCTTGTCATTGATGAGTAAAACAGTACTTTTGTCCCTTGTCAGCCAATTTCAAGAAGCGTTTGTTCAAGGGAGACAAATAATTGATTAAATCCTAATAGCCAATGAATGTGTAAAAGAAATAAAGAGATCTAGGAAAGAAGGAATTGTTTGCAAATTGGACTTGGAAAAGGCTTATGATATGGTGGACTAGAAATTCTTATTATTAGAGGTGATCCAATAGTGTGGATTTGGGGAGAGATGGTGCAATTGGGTGTTTGGTTGTATCCGGTCTTGTCACTTTTCTATCTTGGTTAATGGAGTGGTGGAAGATTTCTTTCCAGCTTGCAGAGGTTTAAGGCAGGGTGATCCTCTCTCACCCTTCCTTTTTACTTTAGTGGTGGATGTTTTTAGTACATTCCTCTTTAAGGCTAATAGGGAAGATGGTTTTTTAGTAGACTCCAATTTGCAGACGATATCATATTTTTTTTTTGTGAAGGGGGTGATATTAGGAGGGTGAGGAGATTAAAAAAACCCATCAAGAAGTTTAAAAGGATCTCAAGTTTGAAAATCAACTTAGACAAGAGTTGCATAACAGGGATTAATATGGAGGAGAATGCCTTGAGTGTGATAGCGAGTTGCTTAGTATGTCTTATCACCCCTTAGCCTTTGACCTACTTGGGTCTTCCTTTAGGTGCCAACCCTAAGGAGAGTAGATTCTGGAATCCAGTTATAGAAAGATGTGAAAGGAGATTGGCCACTTGGAAGAGGAACTATATTTCATTAGGAAGTAGGATTACCTTACGAATATCAACCTTAGCTAACCTACCAGTCGACTTCCTCTCTGTATTTAGGATTCCACCAAGGGAAGAAAAGAAATTAGAAAAAAAATCATGAGGTATTTCCTTTGGGAGCCAAGAGAGGCTAGAAAAGACCACTAATCAAATGGGAGATTGTGTGTAAAAGTAAGAAGGAAGGTGGTTTAGGTATTAGGAATGTGAGAAAGAAGAATATGGCTCTCTTAGGGAAGTAGTTGGCCACTTGGAAGAGGAACTATATTTCATTAGGAAGTAGGATTACCTTACGAATATCAACCTTAGCTAACCTACCAGTCGACTTCCTCTCTGTATTTAGGATTCCACCAAGGGAAGAAAAGAAATTAGAAAAAAAAATCATGAGGGATTTCCTTTGGGAGCCAAGAGAGGCTAGAAAAGACCACTAATCAAATGGGAGATTGTGTGTAAAAGTAAGAAGGAAGGTGGTTTAGGTATTAGGAATGTGAGAAAGAAGAATA